TTTCCCTTCTTTTCTTTTCCCCTTTTATTTTGGTGGTTGAGCATTCCTTGAATCCAAGACAGAAATCAGAGTAACCCCAACAATAAAGGATTGGAGAGTGTTGTATAAAATAGACAATTACTTTGTTTCCATGGTTTTCCATCATCAGGAAGAAAGAATCTCTCTTGGAAAAAGAAGGGAATATTACAGATTTTACAGTATAAAAGTATGAGGGAAAAAAAGTTCAACCCAAAACTTTATGAACCCAGGGGAGCAAAATAGAAGCTGTGAAAAAGTTCATACAGGTTCAAGAGTGTGATCAGAAATGTGTGACTGTCAAAATGCCCCTTTTAAATAAGGGACTGGCTGCAGTAGCCTGCAGATTTTAAATTATTTACAATTTTTGGATAGTGATAAATCAGATAATATTTTTTTTCACCAGGCTTTTTATTTCAGAGTGGAAGTTAAATTTTTATTTTTGAAGTAAGCAAGCAAATTTGACTTATAAATTAGAAAATAGTCATGAAAACTTGTCATGCAAACTCCCTTTCCAAATTTGAGCATTTTTTTGTAGGAATAGTTGGTCTGAACTATGGAATTCTTCAACATTGAGACTTTTCCATCAAAAATCAAGTCCCTGTGCTGGTCAGCCCAGGACAGAAACTGGGCCCTGCCAGTATTCCTGATATTCCTCTGCCACATCCTGCTTTCTTTCACCAGCAAAACCCACCAGTGTTCCCATATTCCAATACCTTCTTCCAGTCAGAATTAAGGAATTTGAGGAAATATTTGGATTTGAAGCTTCTTTAGCAATGACAGCTGGATCAGGGCTCACTGCTGCTCAGTGCTGTGGGAGAGAACCAAAAGATCCCCTTTAGGTGGGGTTTATTTTATTTCATGGGCTACATTTGTTTGCCAGATGAAAGGAAGAACCAAAAATGTTTTGTAAATGTCCCATAGTTTGTTTGGGAAACTTTCAAACAGTTTCCTGATGTTTACAAAGTGCTTGTACTTGTAATAAAATAGAATTAATGTCTTTTCTCCTGCCCACACAGGAGGAGAATGAGAGTTTGGCTTCCTAGGGTGGTCCCTTGAGTACCTCAGTGCAGGTCCAGTTTTAGAAGCACAAACTCTCTACAATTTCTTTCTGTGAGACCCTTTTTGGGTCACTTTTATGTCAATCTTTTTATTTTATCATTGAAGGGAAAAAATTATTTGTACAGCAACCATTATAAGTATTAAGTTATCCTATAAAAAGTAGAAGAGCAGGTAGACTTGGTAATGACAAACTCTTCAGTCACAGAAGGTGACTTCTGCTTTTTCAGGTTCATATCACAGAATTCCAGGATATTTTAGGTTGGGAAAGGTATCCAAGATGAATCTCAGCTGTGCCCAATGCCCACCTTGTCCCCATCTCAGAGCACTGAGTGTCCAGGCCTTCCTTGGACACTTCCACTTAATAACTCATTTATTAATTCAATAATACTGATGGAAAACATCTGTGGAACAAGCTTTTCTCCAATGGAATTGCTTAAACTCACCCTGAGGTTTTCTGTCCTGCACCTGGAGGGGAACAACCCCAGGCAGCAGCTCAGGCTGGGGGTGACCTGCTGGGGCAGGACCTGAGGGACACTGAGCTGTCCCTGAGCCAGCAGAGTGTCCAAGGGTGTCCTGGGGGGCACTGGGATGAGCATTCCCACAGGTCAGGGGTGATCCTGCCCCTGTGCCCAGCCCTGGGGGCACCTCTGGGTGCTGTGCCCAGCTCTGGCTCCTCAGCACAGCAGGGACAGGAGCTCCTGGAGCTGAGCAAGGGCCTGGAGCATCTCCGTGCCCAGGAAAGGCTGAGGGAGCTGGGGCTGCTCAGCCTGGAGAGGAGCCCCAGCTGAGAGGGGCCTCGGCCC